GCCCCAGGACCGACCCTTGGGGCACTCCGCTTGATACCAGCTGCCAACTAGACATTGAGCCGTTGATCACTACCTGTCCCCATCCCCTGCTCCCCATCCCCTGTAGCCCCCAATCCCCTGCCCCCCATACTCCATAGCCCTCCATCTTCTGCCCCCCATACCTCATATAGCCCTCCATCCCATCCCCTGCCCCCCACCCCCTGTAGCCCCCATCCCCTGCCCCCACGGCCCCACCCCAGTCACCTCGTGCGGCTGCCGGTTGTGTTTCCTGAGCCGGGCGCTCGGCTCCGTGTAGTCTTTGCTGACGTGCACGACTTGGCCCTTGGCGCTCTTGCGGACCAGGTGACGTCGGACCCCGGGCACGTCCTCGAACCTGTGGCCTGCGGGGAGACGGGCAGTGGCCCTGAGCCTGGCGTGGGGGAAGCTGGAGCCGTTTCTCAGCCGCAGCTTCTCCTCCTGCTGGCGCAGGCGAGGGAGACGGGATCACACACTGGCCCCCGCTGTCCGGCTGGCCCCAAGCCCAGGCCCACCTCCTGCAGGGGAAACGCGGCGGAGCTGCCCAGCGGCTGCCCCAGGCCGCGGTGCTGAGGGACCCTGTCTGCGGCTGTGCCACGTAAGAACGATGGGGGGCGGCGGTATGTGGGGGCAGCGAGTTTCCCTGGCCCAGCACAGGGGATCCACCAGGGAGGCTCACTCAGAGTGGGGGTGCGTCAGGCTGTTGGGCCCCCCGTGGAGCCTGCTGGCCCCTCCACTCTGGGCCCCCAGGGTACCGGTGACACGCAGCCTGTGGGTGGTCCCCCCGGCCTGGCTTGGTGAGGAGCTGCACTGATTGAATTCCCGTCACACCCACGTGCCCATCCCACACCAGCTCCCCTCTGTGCCAGCCCAGAGACAGTCCCTACGCCATCCACACAGAGCAGCTCCGGGCCGTGCCCCCAGCCCTCGCCCCTTCCCCCCTGCCCAGGGCCTGGGGCACTCACTCTTCATGTAGTCCAGGTCGGCCGAGGCCAGCGTCTGGGCCTCCGATTCGTCCGTGGGCACCTTCTGGTACTGGGCCTGCTCCACCCCTGTCATGCTGCCGATGCGCCGCCTCTCATTCAGGTTGTAGCTCCGGTGCCCCGGCTGGGACTTGGGAACGGGGCGGCCTGGGCAGCTGGGCTCGTCTGCACTGGGCCCATCGGTCCCACGCTCCTCCTCGGCCCTGGGGCTGGAACAGACACCTGCCTCAGAGCTGGGGTCCCGAGCTGGGCCCTGCCACCAGCCCCATGGGGCAGAGCCCAGCCTCACCACGAGCTGCCGAGGAGCCCTTGAGTCCCAGCGCCCAGGCACCCCGTGCCAAGACCCCTGCCGCTCCGCTCCGTGCAGCCGGTCCCCACACGCTCACTCACCCAGCCCCCTTGGGGTCCGTAGCTGCAGCCCCCCCCAGCTCCATGGGGGAGCTTGGCAGAGACGTTGGGGTCGTGGGCTCCTCTGGGCAGCGCTCGGCAGCCTCGTCCTCCTGCAAGAAGAACTGAGAAGGGACACGGCTTGGGGCACCGGCAGCAGCAGGGCCTGGGGGCCCTGCCCTCGTGGTCCCAGCCCTGGCAGCCAGAGCCACTTCTCTGGGCCCCCTCACCGGTGCTCTGCCTCCAGCGCCCCTCGCTGCTCCAGCCGACCCCTCCCGCTCCCTGCTGGGCCCCCAGCCCTGTACCTGGATCCCCCCGGGCAGGTCCTCGGCCGACCGCTCTGGCTCCGTGTCGCAGGTCTCATCCTCATCCTCCTCCGCCTCCTCGATGGTGGGGGTCTCTCCTGGAACGGACGCGCGGCGCCGCTTCTTCTTGCCCTTCTGACCCCCCTTCTTCCTGCGGGCGTCGGGGGGCAGGTGCGTGGAGAGGGGGTGGTGGATGTGGTGGGACGACTGGCGGTGATCTGGGCGGAACAGTAGGTGTGGGCATGGGCACCAAGCTGGGGCCAGACCCTGCACGCCTCCCCTGACCCCCATCGCCACGCCCTGCCCCCATGCTGCCCCCACTGCGCCGCCCTGCGACAACAGGCGCTGCCCAGCCAGGCCAGAGCCTCTCCTCACAGGCGTCCAGGAGCCAACGAACCGGCTTGGTGCCGCCCCGGGCCGTGTTCTCTGCGCCCCGGCCCTGCCCCCACTCACACTCGAAATCCTCCTCGCCATAGCTGCGGCCGGCCTCCTCCCCGTTGCGTGGGTGCGAGTCGTGCAGGATCTCCTCGAAGCGCTCCACCCCCAGCGT